AGCACTTGCCTGGTAAGTACAAGGTTAAGTTCGATTCCCAGTATGAGAAAAAAGGTGGGTGGCAGATAGCCCAGAGGCATAAGTACCTACTGGCAAGCACAACGACCCAAGTTCAAACTTTGGCCCCACTGGCTGTGCAGTCTTGGCCCCAGATGCCCAGGACCCACCCTGTGACCCCAGGAACGGGGCGTGTGGCACGTGCCTATAATCCCAGCATGCGGGAGGTTGAGCCAGGAGGATCTCTGCCAGTTCAAAACCAGCCTGGGGGAACCAGTTCAGAAGTGAACACAAGGCCAGCCCAAACTGCATAGTGAGACCTTGTCTCAAAAGTAAAGCCATATTAATATGCTGTGCTATAAAAGGCTCAAGTCAAGAACTTCTGACATTGCCAGTCTTACGGAAAACCCACTACTATTATGGCCTACTGGACTGTATTGGAATATATTGCTGAATACACACACCTACAATATTTAAATAACAATGGAATGTCCTTCTCTGACAAAACTAACCAAAAAGGGGGATATAAATGAATGACCATTTTGTATCTGTATACTCAAAATAGGACAGATATACAGCTGCATTCTCTTAATTCAGTGAATAGAGAGATTTGTTCCAATAGTGTTTATGGACAGGATATCATGTCTGTATCTTGTACAGTGAATAACCAGTAAGACAGCAATATGCAATGTATTAATTATTCAAACTGCCAGTAATCGGTTTTGAAACTGTCTCATTGCTATTTCTCAATAAAATTATTTTTAAAAAACCAAACAAATAGGAAGCATATTAGCAAAAATATGGTCTTGGGTTCTTCAAATCCACGCCCAGACGAGTAAAGCAGTAACGTATTTTAATAATTCAATTTGTTCCACTTCACACAATTAAAATCATGGATCCTAAACTTATCTCTTAAGCAACGTACTGTGGTCCACTGATCAAGTGAACTTTAAGCTGAAAAATGGAAGGAAGAAAAAGTTCAGATGTTACTGTAACTGTAAGAAGCTGTGCATGTTCTAAAAAGAAAATGATAACACTGGGAATGGCTAAGTGAGCTGCCTACAAGAGCCCTAGCGTCCTTGCAAACCCAGGCCCACAATAATGGATATTAAGCAAAGAGAGAAATGTATATTTTGAGACTACAAATAAGTTAGTATGATATCATGAAGCACACCACGATCTAATGGGATGGGCCTCTGAACTGACATGGTGCAAATTCAAGAAAATAGATGGAAATGAGCTCAACAGTGACAGAGACTTCAATCACTGGGGTATTTGCTAGAATTCCCCCACAGCTAAAATCAACACCTAATAAATGCTTGGCTAATCTTCCTAACATGAATGTGACCACTGAGAAGATATTAGCTTATAATAAAAGTAGTGGAAAACTTGAGCCCAATTAACCATAGAATTTTGAAGTTCACTGAGACAGGTGGCAATGGCAATGCAGGACACAATGAAGGAATACAAATGACAATGTTTTCAGGAAAGAAAAGCAAATCTGCGTGAGACTGTAAAAGAAAGTGAATTGTGTATTTTAGGAGGCTCTCTACAGGAATCTAAATTAGCTCTGACTAATTCAACACATATTTACTGATTATGACTCTATGCCCATACTGTTTTTGGCCAGGGGATACAAATTATCTTGCCCCTTATGGAGCTTAAATTTTAATGGAGGAGAGAGGGAGGTGGGTAAAAAGTGTAACAGCTGGGAGAGGCATTCATATTTTAAAGAAGGTCATGAGAACACTATCATCAAAAAGAAAGTCTGGTGTTTTCTGTTTGTCTTGCAGTGCCTAAGGACCTAACCCAGTCTCACCTGAGCAAGGCACATGCTCTCTTGCTGAGTGACATGCCCAACCCCAAAGAAATAGCTTGAATGCGGTAAAATAAATGAGCTAGAGGGATGAGAGAACAGCTCAGGAGCAGAATGCTTGCTCAGCATACGTGAGGGCTGAAGATTAAAAAGCACTGTAAGATTAAAACAACAATGAAAGAGTGACTTAGAAACCAGAGAGAACAGGGTACATACAGGATAGCTGCCAAGGTCCTCAAGCAGAACTAGGCCTGTAAGAAACATCAGCTTTTAAAACAAAGAGAGTAACCAGAAAGTAACAGGTGCCAGAAAGTATAAGGCCTGGAAGAAAGCATAAAGACTCAGTGAGTTTTATATATCCCTATGAATACACACTTTTTTGGCTCTATTACACCAAATGTGCATGTAAAATTTCTACATCAGGTGTTACAGAGAAAATACAAAGGAGTAGAAAACATGATTACTCCCCAAGGTCCGGCCAAATAGCTAAGTAGATTGAAGTGCCTGCAAGCAGGCGCAGGGGTTGGGGGTTGATCCCCGGGCCTGCCATGCCAGCCCCACCCCAGGGTGCGCTGAGACGACAACGAGACTGGGCACGGCGGCGCACATCTGTGATTCCAGCTCTTGGGAGGCTGTAAACAGGCGGATCACTATGAGTCCGTTCTAGTAGTGAAACCCTGAACACCTTGTAGACCCTTTCCTAAAATTAAAAAAAAAAAATTACTCCCCCAAAGATAGTGTAGATTTTAAATTCTAAAAGTAAATTCTGAACCAAAATGAATTCAAAATAGCAGGAAAATGTCCTACACCTACACATGACTTTAAAAATGTATTTGAACTCTGGGTTTTAGAGAAATTCCTAAAAATTACATCACCAGAAGAATGCAGGAAAGGATGAAAGGGACAGAATGAAAGAAAGGTACAGACAAAAACAGAGACGAGAGACACAGAGATACAGAATTAAAGATACTGAGTCAGAAAAACATATAATATATATTATATAACCAAACAATATTGCTCCTACTCATTTTTGCCACATAAAACTTGACATAGTTTGGTCTCTATGAAATAAAATTCTGGCTGCAAAGTGCAAAAGATATTTATGAAAGATTTTTTTTTGGAAAAAAACTAGTAGCACACAGAGCTCTTCAATAAACTCAAGATTCCTTCTCCTTCTCCTTCTCCTTCTCTTGTTTTTGGTACCAGGAACTGAACTCAGGACCTTGCAGTATGCCAGGCAGGTGCTTATGCTACTGAGCTGTATCCCTAGCCCTTAAACTGAGATTTTGTTAAAGACACAGAAAAAGACAGAATAGACACATAACATAGTGGCCATAAAGGAAACACAGAATGACATCAGGAAGAAAAATGCCCACCATGAGCTCAACTCAGAAAATCCATCAAGGACCACAAAAGAGACTTCTGGATTTATGAAGGAGAGAAAAATACAAAGCCAAGGGCACATCAGTTAAGGTAAATGATACAGTTAACATATGAGAAGGAAAAAAGAAAAAAACCTCCCTTTTGCTTTACTTTTTTTTTTTTTTTTTTGGCACCAGGGATTGAACTCTGGACCTGACATTGATCGGAGAAGTGCTTATGCTGCTAAGTGATATTGCCTGCTCTGCTTTGCTTTTTAAAAACTTTACACTTGAATACACATTACAATCCACAAAGACCTTTCACAAACTTCTATCTTTGAGAGGTCACCTCAGACCTTTGTTAGAAAGGAGAATTCCCAGTCCACATGCATCCCCCAATCTCTGCCTTTTCTTCTCATCTTAGAATGGTCAGAACTGGAGTGCTGGGATGGTACGACCTAAAGCCAAGATGACGACGAGGCTGTAAGAACGCTGCCCAAGCACCGTGAACATTCTGACCTGGCCAGCTGAGTACTGTGAACACTTAACTATGGTGGACCTGCATGCGATTTTGCTGAGTATTGTAAGCATACTGACAAGCTATAGGATAAGAGAGCTTTGCTAAATAAAACAAAGAAGATAAACTGTTGAACATGGACATTACAAAAAAAAACTGTTTCTCATCTAGCCTGAAGAAAATTCTAGTATAGATTTAAAACTGCTTTCAAATACACAAAGATAAGTTGTCACTGAGCTTGCGGAAGAAAAGTCCTGCCAGACAACTTTTCTGTCAGCAACACTGTGAGGCAAATCTATTTGACTATCTGAAAAGTATTTAACAGGATTTACTCAACAGTTCTTAGCTGAGTGACAAATATATTATAAACTGATTAAAACAAAACTCAGAATGTCTATAAATAAGTTCTGCAAGACTCACAAGCCTTAAGTTACTGTTGCCAATGATTAAGAAAAAAACTGACAACATCCTGATCAAAATGTAAGGATGAGTAAAACCTGGACAGAATGAATCATCAAGAAGTGGGGCAACACAATCAGAATTACAAACAATTTCAACAGAGAACATGACAAATATTTGAGCTTAAAAAAATCAAATACTAAGTGACAAACATGTAAAAAAAAAAAAAAAGTAAAAAAAATTATTGACTAAAAAAAAAGCTTGCCATAATTGAGTGTTGAGGGCCAGGGAGATAGCTCAGCAGACTAAGTGACTGCTTAGGCAAGCACAGGGACCACAAGCTGTGCCAGCCCCGCACCTCCAGCCACATTGAGCCAGTCATCAAGGCCAGGTGTAGTGGCACAAACCTGTAATCCCAGCACTGCGGAGGTTGAAAACAGGAGGATCACTATTAGTCTGAGGTGCGTAGTGAGACCCTGTACCAAATACATTTTTAAAAAAAGGGGGTGAGATGGCTACTCCCCAAATTTATGCATGAATTTTAAGCTGGGTTCACAGACACTTGAGATCAGGAATAAGATGAACCCCAAATTCTATGCTGTACCAATTAGCTTAGATCTGGGGAGGTGTTCAACACTTAGCAAGGCCCCACTGCCATACCATGGGGCAAAACAAGTACCCTCATAATTTAAATTCAGTCACTTTTTGGGAGTAACGGCAGCATGAATCAAATGGAGAAGAAATTAGCCATCAACATAAGTGATTCCAAGAATATGTACGGCAAAGAAGTGAGATCCCAAATCTAATAAAAAATCTGTAGGGCACAGTTTTCAATTGTGTTTTCTTCTGGATAAAGACAGTGTTAACAGGAAAGGGTGCCAGTCCAGAGTCAGGGGAGCAAGAGTCTCACCATGCGAGACCAGCCCCGTGTGCCCCCAATGCTGTCTGAGGCCAAATCATTCTGACCATGGAGAAGTGCTGAGCAGGTACATCCTCATGAAGTGGTCGTATCCAGTTACCCTGGCTTAGTGACATTTTCTGTTAAGCTGATCTTATGAGCAGAATGTCTGGCTTCTCATATAGTGTCTCCTGCAAAAGACAGTGTATGCCAACCAAATGACACAAGCTTCCATGCATTGTATTCACAGGGACATAAAGATCATTAATTAGGATTCTTGCCTTTTGATCACTTGTTAAATATATATAAATTTCATAATCCTAATGACTTCCAGGCCCAAAGAAAATTCACAGGCATAGACCTGAGGTTTATACCTTAAATACAACAATCTATCTCCAGATTCTAAGCATGAGAAGCCTTGCCTTTTATGACAACTCTATTTTGTCTAAAACTGAAGTACACATTTTAAAGACAGAAAATGAAATAAAAACATACACTGGAGTTTGGCCAGGAACAGATTTAATGAAGATACTTAACCTGAAACAGGAAATAAGATAGCCATCTTCAAAATCACTGTAAGTAAATTAACAGTCCTATACCTGGCCCATAACAAGTGTTCAACATGTTATCTAGATTTGGGTATTAGGATATAAAAAAGACATGCATACAACATTGCAGTAAAGTCAGAGAAGTAGGTAAGTGATCAGTGGTGAGTCAGGAAGGTCCCCTGTAAAGAGGGGATGGATGCCTAAGCAGAGTCCTTAAGAAAGCACAGGGCTTTTTCTGCCGAGAGTTGACCACAGCGTCAGAGCTCCTGGGAGTCGCTGTGGCAGCTCTGCGGCTCGGGTTTTTCAGGGATTTTTTTCTCCTCTCTGTCCACATACAGTCACCAGCCCACAGAGACATGGCCAGCATCAACACAGGCTCCTCGCACCCATACTGGCCTCAGCACCTGAGGCTGGACCACTTTGTGCCTAATGACCTTCCTTCCTGGTATATCCTAACTACCCTGTTCACCGTCTTTGGGGTAATAGTTGTGACCACGTAGCTGTTGTCCAGTTTTGCTTCAGTTGTCCCACTGGGGATATGGCAGTGACTGTCCCTGTGTTGGTTTACAGTGTGTGCATTCGTCCATATGGTGACGGAGGGCTGGTTCGTGCTCTATCGTGAGGCTATTCTTGGAGACAAAGCCTTCTTATCACAGCTCTGGAAAGAATATGCTAAGGGAGATAGCTGATACATCACTAAGGACAACTTCACCTTCTGCATGGAGAGCATCACACCTTGCCTGTGGGGACCCCTGAGCCTGTGGGCAGTGATTGCCGTCCTCCGCCAGCAGTCCTCCCGCTATGTTCTGCAGTTGGTGATCTCTTTGGGCCAGTTCTATGGGGATATACTCTTCTTCCTGACAGAGTACCACGATGGATTCCAACATGGGGAGCTGGGCCACCCCATCTATTTCTGGTTTTATTTCTTCTTCATGAACGCCCTATGGCTGGTGATACCTGGAGTCCTCATGTTTGATTCCATGAAGCAGCTATGTGGGGCCCAGAGTGCACATGACACCAAGGTGATGAAAGCCAAGTGCAAACAGAACTAATGAAGGGTGCATGGGACCAGAAGAGGGGCGAGAGGTGCTTCTGCCTGCCAGGAAATCCAGTCTTGTTCCCCCAGCTTGAGGGGCATTCAGGCTGATGACACGTGCAAAAAGAGCCAGAGATGGGAAAAAGGGCAATGTGGAACTACTGCTATGAGCCACTGAGGAAAAGCTTTAAGAGAAGCCAGGAGGTCTGTGATGGTGGCAGCAGTTTTTAAAATCAAAAAATAAAAGATCTCAACACTGAAAGAAGGAAAAAAAAAAAAAAAAAAGCAACGGAGTTACCCAGAAAGCAATGTGTGTGACCCAAGGTAAGAAAAAGCTAGTGGTTCAGTGTGGTTAGAGAGGGAAATAGGAGTGATGAAAGTTTAGGCAAGAAAATTAAAGGGTCTCATACCATAAATGGACTCAGATGTCATGAGAAGGATTTGCAGGTAGGTGGGGCTCATAGGAAATCTAAGTGCAGGAGTTATATAATCAGATTTATGTTTCAGGAGAACCTTGTGACAGCCAATAGAAGATAGACTGAAAGAAGACAGGACTAGAAGCAGGGAGGGATGACTGTTTCCACAACTTGGTGTCCAAATAAAGATACAAACCCAGAAGCAAAGCCAGAGCTCAAGAAGAAACAAGGAGGACTTCATAAATGACTAGATGTGATGATAAACAAGAAGGAAGAATCAAGGACGACGTTCAGGATTGTGATTCAGTAAAGGATGGTATCATGTATTAGCAGAAGTAAGGAACATGGAAGGGGTATAGGGAGAAGAAAAGCCAGCTCTGGAAAAGTTGAAGCCAAGTTATCTGTGGAACACACGAAGGTGGTGGCATCCAGGCAGATAACAGAGCCTCAAGTCCAGGGAAGAGGCTTGAGAAAGGCACCCATGTTTGGAAATCATCATAACAGAAAAGTTAATAGATATTTAAGCATGTGAGATCACACACATCTCAAAGGATATGGATTAAGAAGAGGCCTGGGGACAGCAGGCTGGAAAACGCCAACCACTCACGGGCATGAAAGCTAGCTATTCTGGGAGGTCCTCTACAGCATTTTTCAAATCTGAAAATTAATCAAAACCTTCAATACAATATTTCTGAGAAATAGCTTTTTACCACTATGGGAGACCAGATGGGAAGATTAAAGCCTAACTGGTCTCATCTGTGAAAGGCAGCATGCGCACACGCTGACACATTGCAGGGAAAAGAAAGAACAACTGAGATCCTGGCATTTCTCCAGACAAGTACTATGGATGGTGGGACACAGATGAACCCTGTTTTATTGACTGCCTGTGTCCACATCTGAGTGTATAGAACCAAGGCGTACCAGTCATTCAGGCTCTTTGTCAAAGGGAGACAAAAGCCACCCCCACACCACCACCACCCTCTACATGTTAACCTATTGTGTCTCACCTTCATTGCCCCAGGTTAGGTACAAGCTCACAGGTTGCCCCCACCACCACATACCACCACTATAGAAAAACAAAATAGGTATTTTTAATCTTTAGCATTATTGATCCAATGATTAAAAAATACTCAAAGTTTTGCTGTTTGGTAATTTTTTTTTTTTTTTTTTTTCTGAAAGGGAAGGAATATTTGGTCTATTTACATAGTACACAAACTACAGATCTACTCTCTTACACTATTTTTCCTTCTGTGGGTCTAGTTATACTCTCAGTCAACTTAAAAATAGTTTTTAAGTTCCTGCTTTGGCAAGCGCAGGGACCAGGGATCAATCCCCAGTCCTGCATGCTGCGCTGACTCCACCCCCAGGGCACACTGAGGGGACAAATAATGGTGGCACATGCCTGTAATCCCTGGGGAGGCTGAAAACATGAGGATCACTATGAGTCTGAGCTGCATAGTGAGACACTGTGCCACACACACAAAATGAAAAAGAAAATGCAGTTTTATCACTTGTAAAATTTCAACCACACATTCTTAATCATTCTTCTCTTCGCTTTTTGCCACCTGCCTGTCTGGGGCTGTACATAATTTATATATCTTTTAATAACCTACTAAAAATCATTTACGACAATTAGAAGTGAATAATTTTCACTAAGAAATTATGTTGGTTTATTTCCCTTTTTGCTCACTTCTAAAAAGACTCCAGTATACACAAATCTTTTTATTAAATCTGTGAATGTTTGATTAAACCAAACTATCATTTTTGCAATAACAACACACCTAGTGTATTTAATCTGCAACAGTCTGCTGGCAGATCAGCTTAATCCTAAAATGTGGCTACGGCCTCACCAAAGTGTGCCTGGTACAGGGCTCAGAGGTACTTGACTTCTTTTTACCAAATGCACTTTTTTCTGTCCTCGCCCCATTTTGCCTCTCCCAGCACTCTACAAGAGGCTCTTTTTCTTCTGCTCCAGTGAAAGCTGTGTCCATACCCACAAACCTTTACCATTACAAATAATGGCACTAAAGCTAACACAGCTGTCAAACCATGGCCCAAAATTATAATGGATATAATTCTAATTGGAGTTGACCATTAACTGGTTCTCTGTAAAAAAAAAAAAAAAAAACTTAACTATATACTGTTTCAGTGACCCATGCTTAAGGACAGAAAAAGTAACCACTCTAGAAAGCAAATTTATGTGAAAAAGAACCCCAGGGTGCTCTTTACTCGGGAGCAGAAAGTTCATGATTTGGAGAAGCAAGTCTCTACACAACAAAAAAGGAGGAGGAGGGTGTGTTAGAGACAATTTTTGACATCATTTGAAGTCATTTAAAGTTATTAAGTTGTACTTTTTTTTTTTTTAATGTATTTAGTACAGGGTCTATAGGATCTCACCATACAGATTAGACTCTAGTGATCCTCCTGTTTTCAGCCTACCAAGAGCTGGGATTACAGGCACATGCCACCATGCCCAGTCTCAAATGCCATCTCAGTCCTCCCTAGGGTCAACACAGCATATGGAGCCAGGGATGGAACCCCAGTCCCTGCATCTGCCAAAGCAGGCACTTCAATCTGCTGAGCTATCTGGCCAGCCCCAAATTGTATTATTTAAAAATATAGTATGAGTTAAAGTAAAAAAGTGGTGTTTTTTAATATCTATTTATTTATTTGGTACAGGGTCTTACTATGCAGCTCAGACTCACAGTGATCCCCCATCTCAGCCTCCCCAGTGCTGAGATTATAGGCATGTGCCACCACACCCACTTTCAGTTGCCAGCATAGCCCAGGACCAGTGTGGCATACAGTACCAGGGATCAAACCTGGATCCTTGCACTTGCCAGGCAGGCACTTAGACCGCCAACCTATCTCCCCGGCCAAAAGTTGTTTGTTTTTTGATACAGGGTCTCACTATGTAGTTTGGGCTGTTTGTGAACTCAATATGTAGCCCAGATAGGCCTTAAACTTGCAGTGATCCTCCTCCTTCAGTCTCCCAAGTGCTGGAATTGTTTTGTTTTTGTTTTTGTCCAAATCAAGGCTTTGGGGCCGGGGAGATGGCTCAGTGGAATAAGCACTTCCCTGGCAAGCACAAGGGCCTGAGTTCAATCCCCGGTTCCACCAAAAAATAAATAAATAAATAATTTTTTTTTAAATCAAGGCTTGGAGTAGAATGGACTTCGAATACTGTATTA